TTTTTTTTTTTTTTTGTTAGAGCTGTCAGGCTGTCAAGAGTCTGTGCAAGAGATTTTCTAGAGGTCCTGCCTTTGAATATATTTCCTCAGGCCCCAGGCAGGCAGGAGAAGGCTGCTCCTTAACCACACGAGTTTAGATGTGTACTTAACTGCATTCAGAGGGCTAAAGTGGCTTGCTCTTAAACTTGGCTGAAGGACTTCCATGGGCTTGGCTCTGTCTTGAGCTCTTTCAGAAGAGCCTCCAACAGTCTGCTCAAGCTTTCAGTGGCTGTGGTTGGGGTTAGATGCTCTTGGTAGAGCAGTATAAAAGGTGCAGCCGGGGTGGAGGAGTCCTGCAGGCACAGAGAAGTGGAGGGGCTAAGGATTGCCTTGTCCTGAGCCTGCACAGGGAGCTGTTGTCTCCTCTGCAGGCCCTGTCTGGTTTTAGCTGGCAGTATCAAAGTATGTGTTTATGTGCAGGCTGTGGCTATCGCTCCATCTCGACTCTCTGGATTAAGGGTGGGATGCAGATTGTTATCTGCCAATCTTGTTTTGGCTGGTCACAGCCAGCCTGCAGTCAGTGTGACCTCTGCTTCCCAAGGAAACCGTGGCCTGTTTGGAGAGGCAGAGAACAGATCAGGCGTGAAGGAAAGAAGGCAAAGGGAGGGGAGAAGGAGCTGCGCGTCGGCAGTCATGCCCAGCTGCCTGTGGCCTCTGGCATGTACTGGTCTTTTGCTGTAACGGGGGAGGTATGCCTGTACGCATAAATACCTGCACCCTTGCAGGGTGCAGACCTCTGTGTTGAGATGAGGCAGGTGGGGGAAGGTAGGGAGCAGAGTGAGCACAGGGCAAACAGGTGGGGTTGGGGGGGTGAGGGTGTCTCCTTGGGTCCCGGCTGCCACATCCTTTCCCATCTCCTTTTTGAGGCCTGATACTTCTTTGCATTCTGCTCTTCCTATCCCCAAATTGAAGCTTAGATGCCTGGTATCCCTTGGTGTGTGCTGGGACTGGTTCTTGCTAAAGAGCAGCCCCCAGGGATCATAGGGGCTCCATCAGTAACAAATCATGGTGACACAAGGGTGAAAGGGGTAACTGCTGCTTACAGACTCTCACTTGAAGCCACCTCTCTCCCCAAGGACTGGAAAATGTATAATACAATGCAAATGGTCTTCACAGGCAAATGAGGGAAATAAAATCAGGTCTGAAATCTGCGCAGAGCTGCTCCGAGGAACAGAGCAGGTGGGTGGTGGGGATGGATGCCTGCGTCCGGGAGGAGTTGGCATGGGAAGGGGAAGTACTACCTCCCAGACCTACTGGAGGTTTTTTGAAGGAATCTGCGAGCATGTAGACAGAAGGTTTGAGCAGGATTCATAGGAGGAATGCAATTATAAAGGTTTCTCGTTAGCAGTGACAAGTGAGAAGGTTCTTGAATGGAAATGTGGTTAACATGGGGAGCAGAGGTTAAAAGTAAGTGGTCAGCTCTTAGTGTAGAGGGTGGTCAGCAGTGGAGTCCTGCAGCGGAGGCATGCTGGCATTGTTATCTTCAGTGCTTATTCCCATTTTTCCACACCTTTAATGGATATATTGAAGTGAAGCTGGCTGACTGTTGGCCTTTGCTGGCGACCTTCTTGTAGGAACCAGCTGAAGGAGCTTTGTGACTGGACAATAAAATATAGCAGGCGGATCAATGTGGATAGATGTGGAGTGATGTATGGGAGAGGCAAGGAGGTAATCCTAACTCTGCTTGTACAGTGAGGGTTTCCGTGTTCCTTTCTACTACTAAAGGAGATCTTGGGTTATGATTGACCTAAGCAAGTGTCTCTCTACAAGACAATCTGTTCCTAACGGTAGAAAAGAAGAGAACTGCTCAAATATTGCCGTGTTGCTGCGTACATCTGTAGTGCGTTTGTCCTAAACACTGTCTCATTCCTCTCCTCTCTCATCTCCAAATATGAACAACAGAACAGAAGAAGTTGCTAAGGAGGACACATTTAAAGGTTTGGGTATAACGACTTCTGTATGGGAAACTGCAAAAATGGTTGGGATTCCTCACCTGGAAGAGGAGTGAATCAGAGCTGTGGTGGTAACCGCGGATAGTGTTGGAAAAGTCAACATGGATGGACAGGCCACAGGTCTCCCTTCAGGCTGGAGGTGACAGACAAATGAGGCTAGCAGGAGGCAGAGGGTGAATGAGTGGGTTCATGGAAGTCAAAGTCCATTAAGGATTATTAAACGCAAAGAGACTACCACTTCTGGGGTGAGGGTTTTCAGGACACTGGAGAGTTTCTGTAAATTGCTGTCATCTGCAGAGGGGTTCATGGGGGAGGGTACCCAGTGCGGCTGTTCTACAGTCTGTGTTTCCATGGTGTCTGTGATGCTGGATCCTCGTTCAGTGCTGGATATTGGAGTTCACCTATTTTTGCTTCTAAAGCCTTAAGTTTGCGCGTGAACATTGAGAAGGGCAGAGGTAGTGACTGAACCTCTTACCCAGGTTCCCTCTTCTGTCAGCCTCAAGCAAAGTCCGTTATCCCTGTCCTTGTTCTGTGGTAACTCTGCAGACCGATGCTCTGTGGTCTCCTGCACTTGAGCAGTGGCAGGTGCTGGAGACGATGTTTCTTTGATGTGTGATGCTCACCCAGCAGTGTCCTCTTGCACTGGGTGGTAACAAATATTTACAGAACACAGTAATCCAGGTGCTTTCCTAGTGCTGAGGGTGTCCAATACGTGCATTCTTGGTCCACCTTCAGTCCTGGAGTGGTTGTGACAAAGCAGAGATTGGTGATGTCTCAGCATCGTTTTATTCCATCCCTTTTAAGTGATTCTGTTTGCAGCTCTCTGTCCAGGGAGGTATTTTATCACATGATGGCTTCTTCTGAGAAAGTTTCTGCTGAACAGCACTTTTAGCCATGCACTGCCTTCATGGGCTCCCCCTGGGAGATACAGTCATCTTCCAGCTGGATTATGGTACATCTCCACAAAGGATTACGTTTCCTGGAGGCAGCGTAGCTGTGCCTAGCCTTATATGTTTTCTGCAGTGCTCCAGTTGGGATGGAGACCAAGCGGCTGCAGTGTGAAAAGAGAATTACAGAGAATGGCTAGTTTCCTTTACAGATGTCCTGTCTCATCTCTTGACTCTGCTTACACAGCGGTACTTTCTGAGCGTAGGTCTTGCAGCTATAGTTGTGTGGCTTGGCATGTTTGTTGAGGGCAGAGCGGGGTCAGGAAACCGTGTGAGGCTTCAGTAAATGCTTTGGAGTTAGACGACTCAAAGGAGCAAAATAGGTTTTAACCTTGCTGCCTGGGGATCTTACCTGCAGTAAGCTCATGCAGTCACTTGAACAAACCCAACCACAACCCGTCATGTCTCCAGCTCCTGGAGGAAGCGCTGACCCTCGTGTGGGCTTGGCATCCAAGTTCAAGTGGGGTGAGAGTGCCCGTGCTGTGTTTATAAAGCATTTGGGAGCACCCCTGCTTGCTGTTTGTCCCCTAGTGAATGGCCCTGTGGGGCAGTAGATGAAGCCGTGTGGAAGAGTGCTCATCTGCCCTCTCTCTTCCAGGCTTATCTGGAGTCCTTCTACAAGTTCTGCAAGGTGCTGGGAGGTACCACGGCAGATGCCATGTGCCCGATCCTGGAGGTAGGTCTGGAAACCCCCATAGCTGGACGGTATTGTCGTGATACTCATTGCTCTGTGCTCAGGCCCAGCTTGCCTGCCAGCATTAAGGATGCTAAAGATACTCTTCAGCATCCCCATGCACACTCTGCCTGCTCACTGGGAGACCTAGGAAAACACTGCCTGCACATGACTTTGGACAGGTTTGGTTCCCCAGTCCTGATCTTGCCAGGTGCTGACAGATCTGTTGCCTTCGTGGCAGCATCTTCATCCTCTCACATGGATAATGAGCTGGAGAGCAACCAGAGCTGTTCAGTGCACAGCCCATCTCCATGCCAAGGCTAGCTGTGGGATGTGCAGGGCTCAGGGGCAGTAGGTGAGAGAGACTCCTTGACCTGGGCAGGGTTCTGCTCAGTGATTTGGCTTGTGCCTGGCGTGGGAATTTCCTCACCTGACTGCTCCCCAGGCATCAGCTACTGGGCATACTGGGAGCCTGCATATGTAGCCTGCCATGGCTGAGCACCGGATAGCTGTATGTGTCCCAGGCAGCTTGCTCATGCTGCCCTCTGATGTGGCTCTGTTCAGGGCAGCGTCGGTATCTGCTGGCCTCTGGCAAAGATGCTGCACCCTGAGGTGAACCGCTCTTTTCCCGCAGTTTGAAGCTGACCGGAGGGCCTTCATTATCACCATTAACTCATTTGGTACTGAGCTGTCCAAGGAGGACCGAGCAAAGCTGTTCCCACACTGCGGCAAGCTCTACCCTGAGGGCCTGGCTCAGCTGGCCAGAGCAGATGACTACGAACAAGTCAAAAATGTTGCTGACTACTACCCAGTGAGTGCTTTGGGGGGTGAGGGCTGTGGGGACCGGTGCAAGGACCTGCTCTGGATCAGAGCTTCTCAAGGATTGGGGGGACCTTGTGATTCACAGCCTGGGGTGGGGGGGCCTTATTTTCTGCTGCTACTGTTGGACCTGTGCTCTGCTTGGCCAAGGTGGAGTTGGCTTGCTGGAGCTCTTGTGCCAGGGATGCTGTTGGCTTCTTAGTCATGGCTGTCATTGCAGTGGTGATAGGGAGACCAGGCGTGCCCGACCTAGGGTGTGGGGACTGCCCTCGCCACCAAACCCTTGAGGTATCGGTGTGGTAGCAATGACAGTCTCTCTTTGGCTGGCTGGGGGGGGGAAACCTGTCTTCAGCGAGAAGTGGTGTGCCACATCTCCAGCCCTAATGGGTCACTGAGCTCTGGTTCAGTCGCAGGGGAGACGCTGACCTGGGAGGACACACTGCGATGTGTCTGGGTTCCTTAAGCTGCTCTTGTGCATGGCTGGGGGCCTGTTTGGAGTCAGAGAGCTCAGTGTCTTCTCGCTGAAGCAGCTGGGGCATGTGCCAGTGTTTGTGGGCACAGAGGCCTGGCCCCAACACTCCGGTCTGTACATGGAGGGGTCTGTACCTGGTGTATCCTCCCTGCAGACTCAAAGTGATGACACGGCTTTGAGAACTGGACACTTCAGAGAAGGGGAAGGATCTCTGGCTGGACAAGCTCACAGATTTTAAATAAAGGCTTTCTCTGCCTTACGGGGGATTGCCTTCAGCCAGTGTGTGTGCAGTGCAGCCTCGGCAGCATCCCCTTGCCAATGCTCATGTGTGCACAGGGCAGACTCTTGGCTTCTGTGTCCTCTGCTGACCTGGCATGGTGGCTGGGGTGTCTGTTTGATGTACAGGGCCCAGGAATGCTGCTGAACTTGGAGGGGTTTGGGTATATCCTCTTGTAACGTCTTCCTGCAGGAGTACAAGCTGCTGTTTGAAGGGGCTGGCAGCAACCCTGGAGACAAGACCCTTGAAGACAGGTTCTTTGAGCATGAGGTGAGTGAGCCCTGAGACGCTTCTCGGCATGTGCCTACCTGTGCCATTTCCAAAGCTCAGGGTAGCAGCAAGCTTGTCTGCTGCCCTGTCAGCAGTGCTGTGGATGAACAGCGTTTGGGGGAAGGAAAAGAATGCTAGCCCTCTGCTCCAGTGAGGGGAATGGGGGCCCAGCATGGTGCTCGGTCCATGTTCTCACCCAGACAGATTAGAGCAGTGTGGGAGGCAAGTTTGGGGCTGCTGGTGGGTATTTGGTCCATTGATAGCAAAACCAGAGTGTAATTATGTGGGAAAAGAGGATTTTCAAATGTCAGAGCCTGTCCTGAGCCATGTGCTGTAGGTTAGAGCTGCCCCGAGGACCTAGAGAGGTGCGGAGCAGGATACCTGTGCTGAGCCCTGCAGCCTGCTGGGGAAGTCATGGGACCTCCCAAGGTGCTCCACGCTTGCTTTGACCAGCTCCTCCCATCTGAGGTGGACAAGTGACATGTCCTCCTCTGGGCTTTCCCCAGGTGAAGCTGAACAAGCTGGCCTTCCTCAATCAGTTCCATTTTGGAGTCTTCTACGCCTTCGTGAAGCTGAAGGAGCAGGAGTGCCGCAACATTGTGTGGATCGCAGAGTGCATCGCCCAGCGGCACAGGACCAAGATCGACAACTACATTCCCATCTTCTAACCCTGCTCTGCTCCTGTCCAACCCGCCCGCCCCTGGAGTCCGGAGGGACCCCTGCCTAACTCCCTGAGTTATCCCTTGCCCAGACTCCAGGGATGTCCCATCTGTGGAACTGGCTCAGATGAGGAAACTGTACAGTTGCTAGTTAAATTATTCACAAGCTGAAGTTTGAGTTGCGTGTGCTGTGAGGGGTCCGGAGGGACCAGTGGCACAGGCTTGGCCCTGTGTAGCAGGAGGGACACCTTCTGTTGTGTATCTAATAGTCCCTGTGTTACTGTACTAATCTGCTGTATGCGCTTATGCTCATAGAGCAAGCACTAGCCGGGAGGTTGCTGCCTCCAAGGGGTTCCCACGGCCGCAGAGGAACACATTAGGTCTGCCATGGCTGGGGGTCCTCTCTGTCAGTACTCTGCAAGCCTCCTAGTCAGTGTTGTTCCTGTGAAATTTAGTTCGAGTGTGATTTGTAGCGTAGCCCATGCTGCTGTGCAATCCCTGCATCCCTGTGTAGCTAACCCTGACCTGGGGGAGACTGAGCAGTCCTGGCCAGGACTGGAGCAGAGCCTGTGGGAACGCGAGGGCAGAGCCAGAGGGCTTGTGGAGCACGCTCCTCCCCGCTCCAGCAGCATTTGCACTAGTGCAGCCTCGCCATGTCCTCAGGAGCAGCCCTCATCAGTCTCCCTCCTGCCCTGCAGCTTGAAAAGACTCCATAAGCTGGCTGAGCTCCTTCCTCCCCTGAAGACCCACAGCTTGGAGCCGACTGTCACAACCATGCAAAAGTCGGAGCTCCTTTTGGCTCTGCAGACAGTGCTGGACCCCTGCACCACCTCGGGGCAGACAGCCAGGGTGGCGCAGCCTCCTCCCCTGCGCAGGGCATCTGGGCTGCCACTGCCCTGGAGCTGTACGGGCACATCTGGCTGTCAGGCAGAGCAGCCCTTGGGTCTGGCTCCACTCGGTCACCCCGATGAGTGCAGGGGGCAGCTGTGGGCAGAGATGTCCCATGCCCTGTCCAGGCCCTGCCCGTCTGTGGTTAGGAGGTGGGAGCCAAGCCTTGGGCATGGCGTGGCAGCTCTGCTCCTTGCTGCTTGAGGTCTGGGAGATGCCCTGTGGTGATGTGGCAGCGGAGAAGCCTCGCTGGTGGGAAGCACGTGCTTGGTGCTGCTGCTGCGAGGGATCGATGGAGAGCGGCTCCGTCCCAGCTTGTGCTGTGGTCACCTCTGCAGTGTTTGTTAACCCGTGACCCCCTCCTCTCTACACCAATAAATACCTGCCTACTGCACCGTGCTCTCCCTGCTTACTTGGGTGCCTGCTCCCACGTCCCCAAGAGGAGCCTCCATCAGCCGCAGGGCCTCCTACCCAGGGAAGTTGATATTTGTAGTAGCGGAGCCTGGTGTGGCTTCTGCATGACTTGGGGCACTTGCTTCTACCACAGGCAGGGGGGTCGTGCCACCCCTTGGGTGGCCCTGGGCACTCACTCCAGCTCAAGCTGCGCACGATGCCTGCTCTGTGGGTGCAGCTGGGTGCCGAGCTGGTGGGTGCCCAGGAGCTGTAGCCCTCGCTGCTCGTGCAGCCGTGTGGGAGTGAGCCATGCAGTTAGGGAGCTGCGTGGCATATCCCCTGGCTTTGCTAAGCTTGTCCCCCTGTGCCTAGGCTTCCTGCGTGGGGCTGTCCGTGTCTGGCACCGTCACCCCTTCCATCCTTGACCCAGCAGGGCCACGGAGTCAGAGCAAAGCAAAAGGAAGCCTCGGGGGTAGGGGTGGGGAGTAAGGGGGAGCGGGTGCAAGCTCTTCCTGGCAGGCTGACCCCTTCTCTGGGGCTGCCTGTGGCACCTGCTGCCCCACGCAAGGCTCCTGCCATGGTGCTCGATGCGGTGCCAGCTGTGACCCAGCTCAGCTCTGCCCGCAGGCATCCCTGACCAAGCATCGCAGCACTGCACCGCAGAAGGAGACTGCCAGAGCCCAGTGGCATATCGAGAACAGATTTATTTAAAAAGTGACAATCACGTAGCTCATCTCATGAAGAGCTCTGCAGCTGGCCTCGGCCCCTGCGCTCACCAGGAGCACGTGGAGTGTGTAACGAACGGCAGGGAGGCAGGGGCTGGCACAGCAGCGGCCACAGGGTCCCGGGGCTGACCCAGCCAAGAGGCGACGGAAACAAATGCTTGCAGCTCCGACAGCAGTGAGGAAGATGTCGGGTAGCTGAGAAACGTCCGAGGTACATCCCAGCCCGTGGTGCAGAGCCGCAGAGTCAGGTGGGGGTGGCCCCCTTGGAGGATGCACGGTTAGAAAAAATACAAAAACAAGGTCTCTAGAAAATGTGGATTCTCGCACAATAGAAAATAGATCTGCCTGATTTTGGAAAGCAATTTGGTTTTTAACATCTAGTGCTGATTGTTCCCCCGCGGTGCAGGAGGGCCATGCTGGCAGCAGCGCACGCGCTCGGGGGCTGCTGTGCCTGGACATCCCGGGAGAAGGCTCGCTCCTGCCCCACAACCGCATGTGGGCTGAGGTCAGGCCTTCTTTGCGTCGTCGTGGTGCTCTCGCCGCAGCGCTCGGGGCAGCTTGGGGTTGATGAAGAATCCTTTCAAGAACAAGTCTCTGACGAAATAGGGCAGGTAGCGGTGTATGAAATACATGAGCCCAAGGCCCTGCCCTGGGTAGTAGCGCACGGCTGGGTTGGCAGCCAGGAGCCCGTCTGTGATGCTGTTCACCACCGCGCTGAGGTCCTCCACTGCCACCTTCATGAACTGGATGAACTGGCGGTTGATCTCCTCCACGTAGTCCTCGCCGTAGGCCTGCAGCAGCTCCCGGGGCAGGCTGGCCACCAGCCGCTGCTTCTGCAGGTTCCAGAAGGCAGGGTCGCATGTCGTCCCTGCAAGGACGTGGCCCCCCTGTAAGCTGTGTGGCCCCCCTCCTCCAGCCCCCCCGGCATGGGTGCCAGCAGCCCCCAGTCCCCTCCCAGCCTCCTGGAAAGGTCCTGCTGAAACCCTGGCAGAGATCTGCCACAGGGCAAGCGTGGTGAGAAGCTCTTCATAGCCCGGGACTGGAGCAGAGGTCTCGGACCCTGCCTGCAATGGGGACGGTGCTACCATAAACGTGGCTGAGCTGGGTCAGCCAGCCCCAGTGGCAGAGGATCTGCTGGCAGGGTTTGATCCTGACCCTGCCTCTCACCAACCAGAGCCCAAAGGCCACAGGATGGCCGCCATCCCCAGGGAGGTGGCTAGGGATGCTCAGAAGCTGCATCCTGCACCACCGGCTGCTCCTGCCATTGCTCCATCTTCTGCCTCCCCAGAGTACCTGCCCTTTGCCTGCAGGTGCAGGCACCAAGCGGTGCCGACCCTCTTACCTGTTTTGTAGTAACCAGGCAGGACGAGGCTGACTTTGATGCCCCAGGGCTGGAGCTCGCTGCGGAAGGTGTCCATGAGCAGGCTGAGCGCTGCCTTCGAGGCCCCATAGGCTGCCAGGCAGGGGAAAGGCAGGTCACCTTGCAGGAGAGAAAGGATGAGTGAGCGGGCTCTCAGGCAGCTGCCTGCATGGCCGGGGGCAGGCAGGGACCGGGAGGGCTTGCACAGGGCCACGCTCCCAGCCACTGCAGAAGGAAGGGGCTTTGGGTGCCAGCCTGATGCGGCTGGCTGGGGAAGCGGAGGTGCCCGGGATGGAGGGGGGTTTGGGCGGGTGGGAGCCACGCCACACCATGGGGATGCTCGACCCACCCCCAAGCTCGGGGTGCCAGGGGTCTGGTGGGCTGTGCTGAAGGCAGGCTGCTTACCTGCGGGGCTGCTCACGGTGACGATGCGGCCACCGGCGGAGCGGAGCAGGGGCAGCAGCCCCTTGGTGAGCTCCAGCGAACCAAAGAAGTTCACCTCCATGCAGGTGCGAAACTTGCCCAGTGGCGAGAGCTCGGCGTCGGCGATGGTGTCGTTGAAGCCGGCGTTGTTCACCAGGCCCCAGAGCCCTGCGGGGATGGGATGCTTGAAGAGGTGACCCGAATGGGGGACCCCCACCCTGGGGATCCCAGCTGCTCCCTGGCTCATGGGGGTCCTGCAGGGGAATTGCGGGGTGCCCCAGGACAAGCCCCGTTAGAGGCTGTCGGCATGGGTGCCCGCAGGGACGCAGCTCGCGGTGGTGGGCACAAGGAGGCTTGGCCCTGCCACGCTGGCTGCAAGCTGAGGTCCCAGGGAGCTGCGCGGGGTCCTGGGGGGGTGCCAAGGGCTCCTACCTGTGCTGTTGGTGTGGGCCTGGATGTGCTGCAGGACGCGCTGGATGTCCTCTGGCTTGGTCAGGTCCATCTGCAGCAGCGTCAGCCTCGGCGAGCAGCTCCTGCGCAGCTCCTTGGCGCCGGGACCCTGCGGGTCCAGCACACTGGCGAACACCTGAAAGCCCATGGCGTCCAAGTGCCGTGCCGTTGCCTGCCCGCAGCCTGAGTCACAGCCT